TATTAATTAATTATAATAATATTGTGTATGTGTTAATATATATATAGGTATCAATATCAATATCATAGGTATATTTTATTTATATAACATAATAATTATATATTATATAATATAATATATAAATTTAATATATTTTAATAATAATATAATAAAATTAATAATTTGATTATTATATAAATATAATAATATTTATAATATAATAAATATTTTAATAATAATATAATAATATAATAATTTAATTATTATATAAATTTATTTGAATATATTATATTTATATATTTTAAATGTATATATAAATTAAAAATTTCTATAACACAATAATTTATTTTATATTTCAATCTGACTTTTATAAAAAAAAAATAAAACAAAAATAAAATAAAACCACGACTCGATAAAAATGAACAAATTACTTTTTACATCAGAGATAGATTTTTTTTTCTAATCTGTTCGTGCGATTACAACTGTAAAAAGAATAGTAACACACGTTTTGTAATATCTAACTATTCTTCTTTTTTTTTTTTCATGTTCGAGAACATCGTGTCATGGATAATTGGCACGTTTTAATCGTCCCGTGAGTCAAATAAAGAAGAACATCGTTCTTCCTTTTCTATTTGCAAAAACTAATTGGATAAGAAATATTAAAATAATGTAATACATATATATATATATATATAGACTAACAAAAAAATGGATAGATAAATAATAAAGAACCAGTTGATTTTTATTTATTCAGGATTGCTGTTCTTTTTTTTTTTTTGATTTTATAATTCAAGGCTAAAAAATCCAATTATATGAAACACTTCATTAATTTTTTATAATTGCAAATATTGAAAATAAATACAAAAGCAATATGTAACATAATGTAACAAAAGTATAACATTATAAAATTCGATAGATATAACAAACATTATTTTCTATGACGTATTTTCCTACACGGAAATGAATAAAATTATATATATATATGTATATAGTGGTTGTTAATCGAAGGGTATTATACTTGAATCGATAAATTTCCTAGAACTGTGACGTAAATGAATGCTAATTTATTTAGGTATACTTAAAATATATATTTTATTATTCTCTCATGAATTATATTAATAATAATAATGAAATATTTCGAAATTAATACTAATTCAACAGTATTTAGAAAAAAAAAATATATTCATTTTGTATCAATGTAATAAAATAATCAAAAATTAAATATGTAATATTTTGTATAAATTTTTTAATCTTTGAATCAAAATTGTGCAATACTTTTACTCAGATAATTAAAAAAAAAAACCAAATAAATATAATTTAATATTTATATAATAATATAAATATAAATATAATAATAATAATAATATAAATGTTTATATAATATATAATATATAAATAATAATAAATATAAATATAGTATAATATATAATATTTATATAATATACTATATATAAGTATAAATAAATATAATATAAATATATATTATATTATACTATATATACTATATACATTTATTATATATACTATTATATTTACTATATATATAATAGTAATTAGTAACTAGTTAATAGTTATATATATGGTAATAGTAATACTATTATAATAGTATATTTACTATATCATATATTGTATTATATATTATATTAATATATAAATATATACTATAAATATTTAATATATACTAATATTTAATATATTATAATAATATATAAATATTTATATAGTTTATAATATATTTATATAAATAAATACAGATATAGCATAATATAATATTTATATATTAATAATATAAACATAATATAATATAATATTTATACAATATAATATATAAAAATAAATAAAATGAAATAAAAATAAAAATATAAATTAAATATATATCACAAAATTCGAATGTTATATGTAAAATTTATATAATAAATAAAATAAAAAAAGTAAAAAAAAAGTAATAGAACACTTTGAGATGTTCTAGGTCGAGTTTAAAGCGGGTCTAGGTTTCTCTAAAGCTTTATCGACTACGTTGCAGGCTTCAATACTAAAACCCAGTAAAGACCTTTACTTTAAGGGTGTCATTCTTTAACGATTTTTCATTGTGTTATACAACAAATATAAATTATTCTCTTTATTATTCACTATATATTATAATAAACAATTAATTAAAATTTTTAAACAAAACAATATCATCTCTACTATTATTTTTCATGTTCATATATTTAATAATAAATATGATTAAAAAAGAAAAATAAATTTCAACTCACCATAGCAGAAAGATCCGAAATATTGGCGGTTGGTGCTGCATCAGTTTTCTCGTACACCATCAACATGGCAATAACAGCTATTAGTATTATTAAACTTTTTATACTAATTATTTTTCCCGCCATGATTTTTCTACTTTTTCCTCTTTCTTCTTCACAATTATGATACGCCATTTTTAAAGAAGAAAATCCAGTCAAAAATCAATTGTCAACAGTAAAAATAATACGTCAAACGATAATAATAATAATAATAATAATAATTATTATTATTATTTAAATGAATAAGATTCTTCGATGAGTCACTTGAAACAAAAAGGGGCTTTTTTTCAAGTTGATGTAAATTTATAAACTAATCAAGAATATTCCGTACTTTTGTTTAGTTTAGTTTAATTTGTTTTTTTTTTTTGTATATTTATCTGATCCTTTTCTTTCCTTCCACCCCTTTCTTCTTCCTTCTCCTCCTCACTTTGGAACTACCCTTCTCTTGGGCCTACGAGGTCAATCAATAATACCAGTCCCTCAAATGCGAACACCGGATTGCGTCGAGTAATGTGACACACACAGAGTTAGTTCGAAGGTCTTCCTGAATCTTGCAGGACACCACTTCTAATTTCTATTTTTTTTTTTTTTTTTAACTCTCTTTTCTTTCTTTATTTCTTTTTAATGATAATAATAATAATAATAATAAATTTATGATTTGGTCTTTTCCTTTTTATTCAAGGGAGAATATAAATAATGAAGGATATGATTTAACAATTTAGAAAATTTTTTCAACTTTAGTTTTTAGATTTGTTTCAATTAATTCGATCTGTTCAATCTTATTCACCTAATTTTTTCTGTTTTTTTTTTTTTTTTATCCCTTTTTATAGTTGGTTCTTCTTCTTCTTCTTATTCTTCTTCAACTTTATAACTGATTTTGATTATTTGATGTATATTTATTTAAAAAGAAAGAAAACAATTGTTATTTGTCACGAATTTAGGTTGTCACTTTATCAAACTAACAATTTTTGTTTTTTTTTCTTACACCTTTAACCATCTATTTGTATTCTTTCTTTTTTAATTAATTTTTTCTTCCTATTAACGACTTTTGTTCTAACAAAACTTCGATTATGTTTTATTTCTTCCTTTTAAAAAAAAAATTAATTTGTTTTATTCCGATCGTTGATTTCTTTTGCGAAGACGAAGATTCAAATTTTTGTTTAAAGGATAATAACAAAAATAAAAAAAGGTGAAAAGCAAGAGAACAAATGTATATACATATAAGTATATATATATATATAATACGCGCACGCAGCCGGTAAAGCAGATACGCGGAGCTGGGACCGGAGTCGACCGCCACTCTGAATCACAATCACCTAGCTCGTGACTTTTATCGAAACCCCCCACCACATTTTGCTTCTACCACCACCACCATCACTATACACACTGGTATACTATTTATTCATTATACGGAGGATGCGCCGTAAACTGCAATATTGCGATCTACAATATTGCAAATCCATCTTTTCTTATTTTTCATTCAATTTAAAAAAAAAAAGAATTATCTCTTTTTTCAATCATCATGGTATTTTTTTCCATCATTTTTCTAATTTTGTATTAACTAATAATAATTATTTTTTTTTCTGGGAATCATCATAGTACTTTTTTTCCATCATTTTTCTAATTTCCAATTAATTAATAATCTAATTTCCTATTAACAATTTTTTATTAAAATTATTATCAATCAATAATAATAATTATTATATTTGATTATTTATTTTATTTATATACATATAAATTATATAAATAAAATATATAAATTATTACAATAAATATTAATATATTAAATATTATTTAAATAATTATATTATTATTATAATATTTATATAATAAATATAATATAATATTATTTAATATTAAAATATAATNATTATTTAGTTAATATTAAATATTATTTAATATTAAAATATAATTATAGTATTATTATTATATAAATAAGATATTTAAATTAATATAATATATATTAATATATTAAATATTATTTAATTAATTATATTATTATAATAATATTTATATAATAAATATAATATAATATTATTTAGTTAATATTAAATATTATTTAATATTAAAATATAATTATAGTATTATTATTATATAAATAAGATATTTAAATTAATATAATATATATATTAATATATTAAAAGTATTATTTCATTAATTATATTATTATAATAATATTTATATAATAAATATAATATAATTATAAAATATAAATATATATTAATATTATAATATATTATTATAATATAATATAATATTATTTAATATTTTAATATAAATATATAATATTATTATTATAATTATTATTATTATTAGTTGGCATTAGAAACTCGAAAGTTCATTGCCGCAAATACCAAATCCCGCCATTGTTTCTGTCCCTGAGCCCGACAGATCAATAATATTATTGATGCAAATTTTATTTCCTATGAAAATTTTGTTTCATTTTTTTTACCATTCTATTTTTAATTGTTTATATCCATTGTCCTTTCTTACGATTTAATTTAATTTTATTCGTTTCGTATATATTTATAATATATTTATTACCATTCTCGTACTTTCATATTCATTTTTAATGATTTTAAAGACAGGTAAAAATTATTGTTCGTACGTATGTATTATATTATTAATCTTAAAAAAAAAAAAACAAACTGATTTTCTAAAGAAGGTATGATAGATAAAAATTATTGTTCGTATTCTTAGGTGGTCCATCGTTCAATGACAAATGATCATGACAAAATGATTAGCATAAATAAGATTCATCGATTAGAAAAGAAGTCCTAGAATTCTTGTATTTAAAGGGTGAGGATGGGGGTGGGTTTTAGGAATTGACAGGTCATTATAATCATCTCAACAATTTCGAGATATCATCTAAATTTTTTTATTCCTAGTTCATCGTTGTTCAATCATTTTAATTGGTCATGAAAAATATATTTTTTTTTCTATATGTATAAAAAATTATTTATGATAATTTTCGTTGGAATAAAATTAAGAACGAATTCGTAAACGTAAAAAAAAAAAAAAGAATAAGATTTAATTTTCTTACATTTGATTATCTACAAATGCATTATCATCATATTTTGGAACGAGATTTTGATGTTTTCATTCTTTTACAACCTACTGACATTATTGTGTACGTGATTTGATTTTATTCAATTCAAAAGTTAAACGCGTATAATATATTTATTATTATTATTATTTAAATTATTTACCATATGTTATTTCTTTATTCATTGACGTAAGAACGTTACGGTTTTATTACGTCTACTTCTTCTTCTTTTTTTTTTTATTTTTTTTTTTTTATTTTTTCTTTCTTTCTTTTACTACACAAATATTTTCATCATTTTTTATGAATATTTTACAAGAGAACAACAACAAGGTAAAGCGACGAATAATGTTCTGATTATTTATTATTTTATTTTATTTTATTTTATAATATACTTTCTATTTCGAAATTATTATTATTATTATTATTATTATTATTATTATTATTATTATTATCATTATTATTTGTGTCGAGGAAGTATAAAATAATTCGGAATAAACGTTGAAACATTTCTTCGTTATCTTGTTACTGCCACGTGTCTTTTTATTTTTTTCTATTTTTTTTTTTTTTTTAATACATAGATCAAATTGATTTCTTAAACAACGAGCACCATTATTTCTTCGATTAAATAAAAAATTTCGAATGAGATTTATCTGTAATTAATACTAAGAATACTGTAAATGTTTATCCGTAATACGAATTCATCGTAAAAACTTTGAAACAAAGTGAAGACATTTTTTTTTTTTTATTCATAGAATACATTTGAGAATTATCAAAAAAATAAAAAAAAAAAAAATAAGGAAATTGTACTGGGTGTCGAAAAAAAAAATATTTATCAATCATACCCTTAAATTTTGGTTATCGATAAACAATACGATGATAAGAAGCAAAGTAAATGAAATAAAAAATGAAATGATGGTAACATCTTATTAAAATGCATCAAATTAGAATTGTTAATGCAATTGTTAACTTTAAGGACGTATTATAATAATCGGGAAATGACAATTGTTTAATAAACAAAGGACAAATGAAGACAAATGTTAAATAAGAGATAAAATGTTAATATACATGTGTATGATTAAATAGAAACATCCGATGATGAGTCCTTTACACATCGATGAATATTATTTTTAACTTCCTTCGAGGATCGAGGAAGAAATATACATTTTATACTCGATTAACTACTACTACTACTACTACTACTACTACTACTATTACTACTACTACTACTACTACTATCATTATTATGTATAATATATAATCAATATTTTTATGTTAATTTTGGATTTTGTTCCACATTGCAGAGAAGAGCCGAATATTGCAATGTTACACGTACGTCGACTTTTTAATCTTTCTTTTCGAATTACTATTTCGGAAAAAGAAAAACATTTTTCGAAAAAACGATTCTTTTTCTTTACTTTCACACTCTTATTTTCAATTTTCTATTATATTTGAGTGTAAAAAATCATAGAAATATAAAATAATAGGTCGTTTGAGTTAACTCGACCGTGCTGCTTAAGGGGTTAATATTTAAAAAAGAAATATATATATATATATATTATAATACAGAGTTCCAATATAATATTATAAATAGAATTTGTAATAATTATTTATAATTTATTTTTTTGTTAATTATTACAATTTTTTTATTTTTATTTTATTTTATTATATTTTTTTGTTTCAAATTTATCTTTAACCCTTTAAGTTGTACTAATGTTTATAATAGTATTAATATTTAAAAATATATATATTTTATATAATACAGTGTTATATTATTGCTAATAGAATTTATATTACTTATTTATAATTTACTTTTTTTTATAATTTATTATAATTTTTTTATTTTATTTTATTTTGGTTTTTACTATATCTTTAATCCTTTAAGTTATACTAATATTTATAATAGTATTAATATTTTAAAATATATATATATATATATTTTATAATACAATTATAATATAATATTAAAAATAGAATTTGTATTAATTATTTATAATTAATTTTTTTTGTAATTTATTATAATTTTTTTATTTTATATTATTTTTTTGTTTCTACTTTATCTTTAACCCTTTTAAGTTGTACCAATATATATATAAATATATATATTTATACAACTAAGTAAGTATATATATATATATATATATATATATATATATATATTATAATACAGTGTTATAATATTACTAATAGAATTTGCATTAATTATTTATAAATATAAAATAACATTAGATTTATTTTGAAATAAAATTCATATCTAATTGTAAGAATATTTTTATAGGATCATCATCAAATATTTATTCTTTAAAACAGTAGTATATAATATATTTAAATATTCATTTATGTTAAAATCAATCATGATAAATAATAATAATAATAATTACAAATTGTATGAATCCTTGAGAACAGTGTTATCAAATTCAAATGAGAACAATGAATAAGAAGTGAACAATCAATAACTTGGACTTGTTTATTCTATGTCTTACCATTTTATTTTTTTAATCCAATCATAACCATTATTATTTGCAAATGAGTTATGAATTTATTGATAACGTTTATATTAACGATGATATCCTAAAAAGCACATG